TAGTCTATAGTCCAGCTTTAGTCTTGTCTTTAGGTTAGACTATAGTCTGTCTATCTTCCAGACTATAGTCTTTTCTTTAGTTTCTTCTTTCTTTTTAAAGATTTCAAAATTAGTTATTATAAAAATGAGTACCACACCTTGGTCACCCACACAGCTTTTACTGAATCATTTAGTTAAGAAAATATTGGTCCAATTTCAAACAAAAGATTACGTTTTTTTCAAAGAGCAAGAAATAATCTTTCAACACCAACCAAAAATATATAAAACACCCAAATTTCAAAAGAACAAAAAGAAAAAAAACACTAATTTATAATTCCCATAAATTGTTTTTGAAGGAAAAATTATAAATTTTTTGAAACAAAAATGTTCGTGTATTTCACAATGACTCACTAAACTACATTTATGTTATGAGAATCTTGTGAATCTATATAAAGCTGTCATGTGTCATCATTGGTTTATTTAAAAAAAAAGAAAAATATAAAATTTTTGAAAAACCATTTCTTAAAAATGTATATAAATTATAAAATTTTTTTTAAATGTGTTAATAAAATTCAAGGAAACATTATAATTAAAATTATGTGCAAACACAGACGGGAAATTGTTAAATAAAATTTTATTATTTTTGAAAATTTTCTTCAAGAATAATTTCAAATTCTTAAGATAAAATTGCATATATTGAAACTTTATTTCAAACTTTTAAAAATTCTCTTTTAAACAGGAAATCATTACCTGTTTTATTGCTAAAATTTCAAATATTTCGTAGTAATTTCTTTTAATTAATTAACACATTAAAGTCTTAACAAATAAACCTCTAATTCGTAACCAAAGAATTTCTATATGTATGCAGTTTTTTGCTCAAACCGAAACAATTACAAATTCCTAATAATATTTCTGTTTTTCTACCTTTTAGCTTAAAACGAAACAAAACAAAATTCCTTAATTTATTTAGGCCATTTCATTCGAATTATAATTAAATTTCTCAGTTGTTTTTTACTTATTGGTTTTAATTAGTAAATTTAGCAAAATGTTTGGTTTCTCTTGCCGCTGACCGGCCGCTCAAATATGCCACACACTAATGTTGTATGTTGCATTTGGAAATTGTAGTTCATTTATATGATTTTCTCGAGTTCTTGTTGTTGTTGTTTATGTAGCGTTTAATGTGAATTTTCTTGGCATTTTGCCTTTTGATTTTGTTTAGAACTGTTTTTCTCAGTGATGCATGGCCGGAGATAAGAAAACATCTACTCGTATGATTTATTTCAGAACATGTTCATAAACAACAAACGGTTCAGGTCTATTTGAATCGATAATTTAAAAAACAAAAATTAACTGAAATTATTTTTGAATATTTAGATCTTTTTAGGCAGCAAATATGTGTGTTATTAATTTAGAAAAATTTGTTTGATAGTTAGAGGTCTAGTAAAAGTCAATCATTTAACTAGATTTGTCTATATACAGCACAGGCTATAGTCTCATCTATAATGCACACTATATTTATTGTCTATAGTCCAGATTATAGCCTTGTCTACAGTCTATAGTCAAGACCACAGACTTGTCCACAGGCCAGACAATAGACTTACCTATAGTTCAGACTATAGACTTCTCTATAATCCAAACTAGAGTGTTGTCGGTAGTCCAGACTATAGTCTTATCTATATTCCAGACTACAGTCTTGTCCATAGTCAAGACTATAGTTTTGATTGTAGTCCAGACTATAGTATTTTAAATAATCCAGACTATAGTAGTGTCTGTAGTCCTGACTATAGTTATGTCTATAGTCCAGACTATAATCATGTCTATAGTCCAGACTATATTCTTGTCTATAGTCCAGACTGCAGTCATGTCTATAGTGCAGACTGTAGTCTTGTCTATAGTCCAGACTATAGTCTTGTCTATAGTCCAGACTATAGTCTTGTCTATAGTCCAGACTATAGTCTTGTCTATAGTCCAGACTATAGTCTTGTCTATAGTCCAGACTATAGTCTTGTCTATAGTCCAGACTATAGTCTTGTCTATAGTCCAGACTATAGTCTTGTCTATAGTCCAGACTATAGTCTTGTCTATAGTCCAGACTATAATCTTGTCTATAGTCCAGACTATAGTCTTGTCTATAGTCCAGACTATAGTTTTGTCTGTAGTCCAGACAATAGTCTTGTTTGTAGTCCAGACTATAGTATTTTAAATAGTCTAGACTATAGTATTTTAAATAGTCCAGACTATAGTAGTGTCCATAGTCCTGACTTTAGTTATGTCTATAGTCCAGACTATAGTCTTGTCTATAGTCCAGACTATAGTCTTGTCAATAATCCAGACTGTAGTCTTGTCTATAGTCCAGACTGTAGTCCTGTCTATAGTCCAGACTATAGTCTTGACTATAGTCCAGACTATAGTCTTGACTATAGTCCTGACTATAGTCTTGTCTATAGACCTAAGAACAGACTTGTCTATAGTCCAAACTATGGACTTATCTATAATCCAGACTATAGACTTTTCTATAGTCCAGACTATAGACTTTTATATAGTCCACACTATAGACTTTTCTATAGTCCAGACTTTAGTCTTATCTATAGTCCAGACTATAGTCTTGTCCATAGTCCAGACAATAGACTTGTTTATAGTCCAGACTTTAGTCTTGTCTATAGTCCAAACTTTAGTCTTGTCCATAGTCCAAACTATAGGCTTGTCTACAGTCCAGTCTAGAGTCTTGTCTATAGTCCAGACTATGGTCTTGTCTATAATGTCTAAAGTCCATACTATGCTTAAAATTGTTATCTTGTCTTTAGTCCAATCTGTGGTCTTGTCTATAGAGTTTAGTTTTAAAGCTCCTTAATATATACTTCTTTTGTTTACTCCCAAGAATATGCTATACTTTTTAATCAATATAACGCAGTAAGTTCAAAATGATCTTATACTGGCAAATTTTCTTTATTTTTTGTTATTTTTTTAATTTTATAATAAAACTAATCGATTTTATTATTTTCTTTTGTAAAATACAGATTGAACGCGAGAAAGCCGATCTCAGCGTCCAAGTCATTCAAATGTCTGAACGCCTCGAGGAAGCTGAAGGTGGTGCCGAACATCAAGTAAGTTTTGAAGCCAAACAAAAAGCAATTTCTCTTTCCCTAATTTCCTTTATTAAATATTAATTTTTCTTTTCCCAAAATATAGTTCGAAGCCAATCGCAAGCGCGACAGCGAATTGTTGAAAATGCGCAAAATGCTTGAAGATGTCCATTTGGAATCCGAAGAAACCGCTATGTTGCTTAAGAAGAAGCACAACGAAATTGTTGCCGATTTCCAGGAACAAATCGAAATCCTGACTAAATCAAAGAGCAGGTAAATTATAAAAGTTTAAAAATTATGAAAAAAAATCTAAAAAAAGGCTTTTAAATAATATTAAAGCTTTAAGTTGAGAACAAATAAAATTTCAACAAATTTACTTAGCATACTTTAAGGAGCACACGAAATTATTTCGTTTACTTATGCATTCTTGAATTAAGTAATTTGGTTGTTGATCTCATATTTTGAGTACAATTTTATTTGTTCTACTTAAATCTTTAGTATTTATATTAAGCCTTTTAAATGCTTCAGCTTTTCATTTTCATTTTTAAATTCATATTCATTTGTTTATTTTAAATTCGTCTGTTTCATATTTGTTTAGTCATTTATTTCTCTGTAGTGATTCATTTTTCTGTTTCATTTATAACAAATATAAAAATTTTCATTTGTCTATCTGTTGGCCCATATCAGAGGCCAATGTTTCAATTTTGTTTTAAAAGCAAATGTATTGAAAATCTTGCAAAATATTTATTTGTTTATTTATTTATTTGTAAAAATGTTCAACAAGAAAAATAAATATTTAGCAGAGAAACATCTCTATAGATAGAAATTATATTATAGATACATAATATTTAGTAAAACCACCTGTATGGTACAGTGGTACGAATATGTAAATAATAATTAAAAACAAATTTTTAAAATGTCTATAGCCCAGACTATAGAATTGTCTATAGTCTAGAATAAAATCTTGTCTATAGTCCAGACTATAGTATTTTCTAGTCTATAGTCTACACTATAATCTTGTCTATAGTTAAGACTATAGTTTTGTCTATAGTCCAGATTATAGTCTTATTTATAGTCCAGATTAAATTCTTGTCCATAGTCCGGACTATGATCTTGTCTATAGTCAGGACTATGGTCTTGTCTATAGTCCAGAATATAGTCTTGTCAATAGACCAGACTATAGTCTTGTCAATAGACCAGACTATAGTCTTGTCAATAGACCAGACTATAGTCTTGTCAATAGTCCACACTATAGTCTTGTCAATAGACCCGACTATAGTTTTGTCTCTAGTCCAGACTATAGCCTTGTTTATAGTCCAGATTATATTCTAGTCTATAGTCCAGACTATGGTCTTGTCTATAGTGCTGTTTACAGTCTTGTCAAGAGACCAGACTATAGCCTTGCTAATAGACCAGACTATAGTCTTGTCTATAGTCCAGACTATAGTCTTGTCTATAGCAAAGATTATATTCATGTCTATAGTACATACTATAATCCAGACTATAGTCTTGTCTATAGTCGAGACTATAGTCTTGTCTATAGTCGAGACTATAGTCTTGTCTATAGTCCAGACTATAGTCTTGTCTATAGTCCAGACTATAGTCTTGTCTATAGTCCAGACTATAGTCTTGTCTATAGTCCAGACTATAGTCTTGTCTATAGTCCTGACTATAGTCTTGTCTATAGTTCTGTCTATAGTCTTGTCTATAGTTCTGTCTATAGTCTTGTCTATAGTCCCGACTATAGTTTTGTCTATATTCCAGATTATAGTATTGTTTATATTCCTGACTATAATCTTGTCTATAGGCCAGACAATAGTCTAAACTATTGTTTTTTCTATAGTACAGACTATAGTCCTGTTTTGAGTTTATATTCAGTTAAAAGAAATCTGCAGTAGTTTATTATGGATCTACTTCTGCCGACTCTAATTGACCTTTAATTGCAACAAATTATTTGAAAGTATTTTGAAATTTTCATATAAATCAAATCTGAAGGGTTTATTCATACTATGTTTAATACTATTCCACGATAAACATTTTCTTTTTTTTTCAACACAAGCAATTTCAAGTCAAAAAATAAATGTTTAATTTCAAAATCTCATATTTCCATAAATCTAAAAATATTTTTGTTTAAATATTAAATCAAATTAAACAACTATAATAATTTAAAATCCAAGGCCAAAAAAACACATAATTAAGCTAATTAAAAGAACACTCTAGCCCCCTTTCAAAGCCCCTGGCATAAACTATACAATTTCAAAAGTTTTGAAAAAAAAACAATTGAAATAATTAAAAACAAAAATTTATGGATTTTAACAAAAATTATGAAAATAAAATTGAAAAAACACTCAATTTGTTTTTGTTTAAATTGTTCTAGAGTTTGCGCTTTTGAATATTTTTTTATAAAAATATTATATACACTCTAATTAACACCCCACACCCATTAAATTTGAAAAAATCTTAAAGTGTAGACACTTTATAGCTCTTTATTTAGAAGATCTACAAAAGCTTCAAACACTCACGCAAAAAAAAAAGCTTTCTTCTCTTGAGAGCTTTTCTTTATATGCTAAATATTTCAAAATCTTTTTTCTTTCTATGATTTTAGAAATTTTGTATTTGTATTTTTAGTTTTGAAAAATAAATTGTATATAGAATTTTAATTTTTTCTACCTTCAAATATCTCTGTTTATTTTACCCCAAAAAATTTCATTCCCAAAATTTGTTTGTTGCTTTTGCTCCGTAGAAGTAAAAAAAATCCCAAATATGTCTTATATATATAGAAATTGTTTTTGTTTTCTTTATTTTACGAAAGAACAAAAATATTATTATTGTTTAAAAATTTATTTTCAAATATTGTTGTCTCTTTTTGTTTTTCTATATTTTACCTTTATGGAAATTTGATATCTAAAGTTTTTCTTTTTTTTTTTGTTTTTTTGAAAATACATAAATTCCACGTAAAAAAATAAAAATTATATATATGAATATTTGCTTTATCTGTGTTAGTATGAAATTATGAGTTTTTTCTTTTAAAAAATTTCACTCAAAATTATATTTTGAAAAATTTTACTTACTCAGTAGGTGTTTAAGCAAATAATCTCATTGTCGTTTGTCTGTATAATAGGTTACCAGGGCGTAATCCTCATTTATGACGTTATATGTTGATTTTGTTAAACATTATCTATTTATAACAAAAATATTTTGTTATTTTTAAAATTTATTTACAATATTATCTTTTAAACATTTTCTCACATTTATAAATTTTATGAATTTTTTTCTTTAATATTAAAATGCTTAATAAATCTAGCATTTATTTTTTGTATATTATTGCTAAATCTAATGACCGTTCCTTAAAATATTTTAAATGGAAATTTCAAGAGATTGATTAAGAATGAAAAAATACAAAAGAAAATAATTTTTTGAAATTTTCATATAAACCTAAAAGTGATTTTCAAAACTAAATATCAAATCCCTAGTTTATTCCTTAGGAGTTGTGAAGGGTAATCTCTTGACTGAACAGTGATTATCCCCTTTTCACTGGGTCCTAACTAAAGCTATTTTATTCAAATTAAACTAAAAACATAAGGACCTCATTATTGATTCACAGTAACGAATGAAAACAGGTTCTCTTTTAAATTGATTTGTTGAATTGTTCTCTACAAAATGGATTCACAGTAATGAATGAAGAAATGTTCTCTTCAAAATAGATTCACAATAACGAATTAAGAAATGTTTTCTTCAAAATTGATTCACAGTAACGTGTGAAGAAATGTTGTCTTCAAAATGTATTCACAGTAACGAATGTATAAATGTGCTCTTAAAAAATCATTCACAATAATGAAGGAGAAAACGTTTTCTTTGAAATGGATTTAAAGTAATGAATGAAGAGGCGTTGTCTTCAGTCTTCATATGAAAATATGTTTCACAGTAATGAATGAAGAAGTGTTGTCTTTAAAACTAATTCACAGTAAAGGATATACAAGTTATAATGGCAAAAATGGGGTTTTGAAAAAAACATTCTAGTACCAAAGGAAGAAATGTTCTCTTCAAAAGAGATTAACAGTAACAAATGAAAACTTGTTCTCTTCAAGATATATTCACAGTAACAAACGAATGAATGTTCTCTTCAACACAAATTCACAATTACCAAAAAGAAAATGTTCTCCTTAAATATTTAATCACAATAACACATAAATATACTTTCTTTTTAACATTAATTCACAATAAGGAAATGTTATCCTCGAAATTGATTCACAATAACACATATAAAAACTTTCTTTTAACATTGATTCACAGTAACGAATGAAGAATTGTTCTATTCAAGATACATTCACAGTAATAAACGAATAGACGCTCTCTTCAATCCAAATTCACAATTAGTAAAGAGAAAATGTTAAATCACAATAACACATAAAGAAAGTTTCTTTTTTTATATTTCACAGTAAGGAAATGTTCTCTTCGTTATTGATTCACAATAACACATTAAGAAACTTTCTTTTTAACATTGATTCACAGTAACGAATGATCTCTTTAGTTTAACTCTCTTTCTAAGACCATTAACTGGAATTTACCTCAAACTTAAGAAACAGAGATCTTTTTACCATCGATCAGCTTCACTGAACTGGTTTCTATCGCACGTTACCAATTCAGCAAAATCTTTATAAATATTTGTCGATAGGTGCTGGACAAAGTCTAAGATAAATTTCTGAAACTGAGAGCAAGAAAGAGAAACGTTTCTTTTTAGAAAGGGACTACGTTCCTCTTAAGATTGGAGACGTTTCATCTCGAAGCCGAAACTAAAATCCAAACATCATTGCTCTCGATCACTTTCAGAAGAGAGCTTTAGCACAATTTAAAAAGTAATTCTAAATGGCTCTATTGCGTGGATCAACTAGATGCGATCTATCTAAAGAAATAAAGTTCTGATATTTAAAGAAGCTTGATATGTGTGCATTAAAGTGTTGATCTCGAGGAATGCAAAAGAATTGAGGCATTCTTCTCTCTAGCAATAAGAGTTTGATGTTTTGATGTCGAATATGGGAAACTGGGAGCCATCTTTTTATGGCTTTTAAAAGAAACGTACGACTCGAATGTTAACATTTCTCTCACGTCAGCTTAAAGTCTCTTTAAGATGTCTAATCCAATACTCAAATGTCCGGGATCTTTAAATGAAAAAGTGTTACATTCAAAAGATCAAGAAGATCGCACTTTGACATTGAGATCAATTGATCGATCACTACACAACAAACAGGACAAAGATGTTGAAAAAAGTCTATCTACTGTCCACTATGGGTCCAGAGAAAACTTACAAATTATGGGCAAGCGAGACATCGATCTTCTATATTGATATCAATCGATTGATCTCAAACATCGACCACAGAAAAATCGATTGATTGATCGCAAAGTTAGAGTTCAGAACAAACTCAACAAAGTTTCTTTAAAAGTCATCATTTGATAAATAATAAACTTTATGATTGGAGCTCATAAAGGCTTTATGATCGTTGATCGGTAGCTTTGCACAATTGATCGATCATAATCCTTTCCCATCATTGAGAACTCATAAAAGCTGCCTTCCTTTCTTAAACTTTCGGATGTCAGAAAACTGAATAGGTTGTACATTATTTAGATACGATATCACAAAGATTTTTGTCTTATTTGGACTCCATCAAGTTCAAATTTTTTTTTCGAATAAGAAAAACTATAAAATATTTTATTGAAATTGAAGTCACTAGATTGATGCTAGATTTATTTAAGCATTTAAATTCATAAAATCATTCCACAACCCCAAAAAAATAAAACCATTTAACTCATAAAAACAATCACCTATCTTGACCAGGTATGAGAAGCATCAATCCAGCAAAGCTCCAAAGCAAACAAAAATTAAAGCATAACTCAAAAAAGCACGCTAAGTATCCTAGCTTAAATCAATGCAATCCCATATATATCTAAAATATCTACACAAACTTTAACTAATATATTTTACTCTTTTATTCCTAATAACAACAACAAAAAACCCAAACACAGAGCCGAAAAAGAAAAAGCTAAATTCCAAGCTGAAGTCTACGAATTGCTTAGCCAAGTCGAACAATACAACAAGGAAAAACTCATTAGCAGCAAGACCATTGAAAAGTTGGAAGTCACCATTTCCGAATTGCATGTTAAGATCGAAGAAATCAATCGCACTGTTATCGATATTACCTCTCACAAGACTCGCCTCTCGCAAGAGAACATTGAATTGATCAAGGACGTCCAAGATCTCAAGTCTCAACTCGATACCGTCTCATATTCCAAGAGCCAAGTTATCTCCCAATTGGAAGATGCCCGTCGCCGTTTGGAAGATGAAGACCGTCGTCGCTCTATGTTGGAATCTTCCCTTCATCAAGTTGAAAGCGAATTGGAATCGATTCGCATTCAACTCGAAGAAGAGTCTGAAGCTCGCATTGACTTGGAACGTCAGTTGGTCAAGGCCAATGGTGATGCTGCTTCCTGGCAAAACAAATACTCTGCCGAGGTAGCCGCTCGTGCCGAAGAGTGCGAAGAAATCCGCCGTAAATATCAAGTACGCATCACTGAATTGGAGGAACACGTTGAGTCCTGCATTGTTAAGATCAATAACTTGGAGAAACAAAAGACTCGCTTGTCCAGCGAAGTTGAAGTACTCATCATCGATTTGGAGAAGGCCAATAACACATGCCGCGAATTGAACAAATCCGTTACCACCTTGGAGAAACACAATGTTGAATTGAAGAGCCGTTTGGAGGAGACCATCATCATGTACGAGAATTCACAACGTGACTTGAAGAACAAGCAAGCCGATTTGCAACGTACCATCCATGAATTGGAAAAGGTCAAGGATGCTAACAACCAATTGGCTCGTGAGAACAAAAAAATGGGAGGTGAGTTAAGGATAATGGTTAAGAAAAAAAGAGAATAAAGCTAAAATGTTTTGGGTTTTTTTTTCATCAAGATGATCTCCACGAAGCTAAGGGCACCATAAATGAAATGAACCGCCGTTTGCACGAATTTGAATTGGAATTGCGTCGCTTGGAAAATGAACGTGATGAATTGACTGCTGCCTATAAGGAAGCTGAAGCTGTAAGTTTTTTAGACTCTTGGTTTAGTTTTAAATAGGATTTTGCTCATTTATTGTTGTTTTGTTGTTGTTGTTAACAGGGCCGCAAGGCTGAAGAACAACGTGCTCAACGCTTGTCTGCTGACTTCAACCAATTCCGTCACGACGCTGAACGTCGTTTGGCCGAAAAGGATGAAGAAATCGAATGCATCCGGTAAGTGTTAATTTAAGGATTCGTTAAAAAGAAATTGATTTTATTTTGTGAGAAATTTGGAATAACCAACATGTTTTGCAAAGTTTACAAATTATTAATAGTTGGCAACGCCCTCCAGCGAATTGCAGCATCACTAATTCTTCTTAGATTAGCAGAAGGATGTTTAAATTTAAAAAAATTACTTAACAAAAATTAAAATTTTCAATTGTCTTTGCCAATTACCGATTTCTTGGTACTATTTGCATCATAGTTTTCTAAAAATACAGCCTATTCCAACCCGAACCTACAACAATTAGTTATCTGCTCTGAGCTATTTTTAAATTTCTTAGAAAATCCGGATATAAATATCTATTCCTTGAGAAACGTCATTGGAAAAAATTGCATTACTGCAAAAAACACATTTCGAAAATATCAAGAAAAGAAATTCGAAATGCAGGGGATTTTAAAATAAAACGGGAAATCAATTAAAATGAAAGTTCATTGTATTTTTTTTCTTCATCATAGTATTTATCTACTTTATTGGCACACAATTACGAATAGAAGTCGAAAAGAGAATCTAAAGAAAAACAGCCAATTTAGAGATGATGAAATGTTTATAGTTTATAGAAAAAAATTATTAATTTAAAATAAATGTGTGGACTAGTATGTATTTATAAATAAAACTAATACAAATTAATTAACAATTTAATGAATGTGACAAAAACTGACATTCAAATCAATCAGTGGCGAATCAAAATCATTTTGAACAACATTCTTAACCCTTTAAAGGCAGTAAGGGGTACCAAATAAAAGAGATTTTAGAAGTCAAGTTATGATATGTACTTTTTATACTTTTTTTTTTTTTGTTCCCCTATAATAGCTTAAAAGTTTTTTCTTTTAAATTGTTTGAAATTTCATTTCTAACCTCAAAATTTTAAATTTTTAAAAAATGTTTCTTTCTAACCTTAAAATTTGTAGAAAATTTTGAAATTTAAGTACAAAATTTAAGAGATTTCAGAAGTCAAGTTATGATATGCATTTTTTCCATAAAAATACTTTGCTCCTTTATAATAGTTTTAAAGTCCTTTCTTTTAAATTCTTTGAAATTTCATTTCTAACCTTAAAATTTTGAATTTATTAAAAAAATTCCATTCTCACCTTAAAATTTTTAGAAAAATTTTAAAATTTAAGGAAAAATTTATAAAAGTTTAAATAATTGTTTACATAAATAGTTTGTAAAACTGTAATAATATATAAAATTCTTAAAAAAAAATCATTTTTAACCTCAAATTTTTAAATTTAAAAAAAAATTGCAGATTTTCTTCCGATTTAATTTTAGAAAATAATGCTACTGATTAAAATATAAACACCAGTTTTCATTATCTGCTTAAAATAATAAAATGTAAATTAAAAAAAAATCGTTTTTAACCTCAAAATTTTTAAATATTTGAAAATGTTCTCTATTTTGAAATGATTTAATTGCAAAGAATTCTGAAATATTATTTAAATATTAATAATTTTGCTTTAGCAACTAAAATTTGTTTTGAATTTAAAAAAAAAAAAATCTAAAAATTTTAAAAATTTCGTTTTTAACCTCAAAATTTTCAATATTTTGAAAATTTTTCTCTATTTTTAAATGATTTAGTTTTACAGAATTCTGGAATATTTTAAAAGTTATATTTTTGTTTTGGCCCCTAAATTTGTTTAAATTTCCAAAAAAAAAGTCTAAAAATTTAAAAAATTTCGTTTTTAACCTCAAAATTTTTTGAAAATTTGTAGAATTTTCTCTTTTTACAAACGATTTAAATTTGCACAAATAGTTGAAAATTATTTAAATCATAATAAATTAGTCTTAAATTACATATAGAAATTTTTGAAAAAAAAAGGTGAACATTCGATCTTTTTTGATCATTTCGAATCGTATTACGATCGTTTGATCGTTTTGTAGAATATTCTTTACTGTTGCTAAAGTTTGATAACCTTTGATCATTTCGAATTGTGTGACGATCGTGTGATCGTTAAGTTAGATCACTACGTCAGCTCTTCTCTATAAAACGGTTGAATGAGTTGCTGATTCTAGATTCAATTTAGTTCGTAGAGTATTCTTTATTGGCCCTACATTATGTAACTTCGATCACCTTTGATCATATCGAATTGCGTGACGATCGTGTGATCGTTAAGTTAGATCACTAAGTTTGTTCTTCTCTATAAAACGGTTGAATGATCTGCTGATTCAATTTAGTTTTACAGAATGATTTTTACTGCCTCTACAGTATGTAACTGTGACGATCATGTGATCGTTAAGTTAGATCACTAAGTTTGCTCTTCTCTATAAAACGGTTGAATCAGTTGCTGATTCTAGATTCAATTTAAGTAGTTTGTAGAATATTCTTTACTGCCTCTACATTATGTAGCTTCGATCACTTTTGATCACACATTTGAATTATGTGACGATCGTGTGATCGTTTAGTTAAATCACTAAGTTTGCTCTTATCTACAGTTGAATGGTCTGCTGATTCTAGATTCAATTTAGTTTGTATAATATACTTTACTACCTCTACAGTATGTAATTTGGATTACTTTGATCATTTTGAATTGTGTGACGATCGTTTGATAGTTAGGTTAGATCACTGCGTCTACTCTTCTCTATACAACGGTTGAATGATCTGCAGATTCTAGATTCAATCAATACTGACTCTACAGTATGTAACTTCGATCACCTTTGATCATTTCGAATTGTGTGACGATCGTGTGATCGTTAAGTTGGATCACTGCGTTTGCTCATCTCTATACTCTAGAATATTCTGAACTTACATTCATAGGACGATCATGTGATTGATAAATTATTGATTTTACAACGTTAATTGATTTACATTTGAACATTTGACAAATTTCAGTTTCAATTAAGTTTGTAGAATATTCTTTATTGCCTCTACACTACAAACCTTCGATCGCTTTTGATCAGCTCAAGTGACGATCATGGGATCGTTAATATTAAGTGTCATAAATCAACAGCAATTCATATTTCTTCTGATTCTTGATACTGGATTATTATTAAATTTATTGTAAATGTTTCTATATCTAGCATTTAAAGGGTTAAATTACCTTACCCGCCTCATTTTATTTTCATTATTTATCAAAACAAATTACGTTCAAGGACATAAACTATTTATTTAGTTTTCTAATAGCATTGATTTTTTTCAAACATTTCCTCTTTATTCTGAACACGTTTTTCAATTGTTTTCATTATCGATCTTTTTTTACAAAAAAAAAAAATAATAAAAGAATTAGAATAAAATGATAAAGAATTTGATAGAAATAAAATCAATCAAGAAAATAGATCGCATTAAAAATGCCAGTCTAATTAATATAGTTAAGACAGCAGGAAGTTTTGTTGCGAAAAAGGAAAAAATAAAGAAAATTTTCTAAATAACTAAATTAAACGAAAAAGTGAATAAATATTATTGAAAAAAAAATTTATATTAATCCAATAAACGAAAGGGGTAAATTATTAAAATAATTTAGAGAAAGAAATAAATTAAAAAAAATTTATTTTAGTCTAAATTGTGTTATACAATCACCAGAAAATTTCGTTAAATTTGGGAACTGTTTTATCAACCGAAAGTAATTGCTTGAAACAGACAAAAGGTGGGTGCCTTTACTAAGTCAAGACACTGGAAATATGTTTGATATTTTCTTAATAATTAAGTTTTATTGTTTTTCCTTAAAAAAAAAGAGATTATTACTTGACAGTGATTTGTTTCACCAAAAAGTTGACAAGAAATCAATCAAACTATTTCGCAGCTGTCTTGTTTTAAAACAGATGGAATTTTTCTAAATTGACTGAAATATATTTTAATTTTTAGCCTTGACGATATTTGTATAAAAAAGGCCCTGTGAAAACAATTGTTGGCATTAACTATATAACTGCCCTCATATTGCTAGAAATATTGACAATATTGACAAACAAAAAGTCTAAAAGACAAGGCCAACAACACCCTCTTTAGAGCAAAGTTCCGTAGCAGATATTCGAGCTTATTTGGCTGCCTTTTATGAACGACTGCTGCTGCCTCCTCGACTGCATAACAAAAGAATTTTAATTTTAAAGAAATTATTTTGTAGTTTTAAACCACAATAACAAAAAGGCAATTGTATTTAACACATTTTGTTACACACACACTTAAAAGTACCCCCCAAAAAAAGTACTAAACAAAAAGTACCTTTAAACCAAATACCCCTACTCTCTAACTAAAAAGAAAAGAAACAAAGGTTCCCCTTAAAAAACACACACACATACCTTCGCTCTCATAAATAATCTCCTCTAAAAACAACCACCACCTCCCCCTGATCATACCTATCTGCTTTAAAAACAAAAGAGAAACATGGCTCTTACCTATGGTGTGCGTCCCCCGCGTGTACGTCACATGCTACAATCGACATATGAAGACAACTATGGCTACACTATGAACTTCTATCAGCCAATGATGGACTACTTGGATGCAAAAACGAAAAGTTTGCAGGTAAAACCACCACACTTGCCGTGGACCAGTGAACGCGGCCTCAAACAATATCGACCCTCGAACGCTATACGCCGTTATAATACCGACGAAATCTTACGACTATCGCGTGCATGTGCGGCCAGGGCAGATGAGATTTTATTAGATTTTCGCGTTAAGAAACGTTCACCATTCAGTGTTATTAAGTTAGCCGACGCAGCGCGTGTTACTAAGCATATTGCTCCCGATACGGTACTAGATAGATCGCGTGAACGTCGTCAACGTCGCCAAAGAGAATTAGAGGATCTTATACGTCAAGATACCATTAAATTACTCCATCGTATTCGTAGAATGGAATTAGACGCCGGCGAAATGACAAAGGAATTTAAACGTCAAATACGCGGTAAATCGGCTCAGGCCATTGCTCAGGCTCTGCTGTCCGAATCCGAGCGTAATATTAAACAATCGAAAAGGGAAGAAGAGGATTATATGGCTCAGGCCATGGTCCGCTCTAGCCGTGCTGTATCGCGTTTACGTTCAACTTCTCCGGAAGGAGGTCGTATCTCCGCTCACACATATCATATTGAAATGATGGACGATCGTATGGTCGATAAACTTGATCATAGAGTATCGTCCTCGTTGTATAATGTTAAGCGTCAATTGTCGTCGTTGAATCAAAAAACCGTCGAATTTTATGCTGATTCCAGGTGCGATTTAGTTGATAAGTGTTGGATATGTCGTAAAGTGATGCGTAATCATCCCAAGATTAAAGATTATAGTTATTTGTATTGGCATTGAGGACTGGTGGTTTTTGGAGCGAGAAAAAGGTTTTAAAGGCAAAATTCGGTCTAAAGTTAAAAATTTTAATTCATTAAAAAATCTATAAATTAAAACAAAATTTTAAAGATATTCTCAGTTTTAAACAAAATTAACAGTTCAACAAGTTAATAAAATTTACGTTACGTTTTTCTCAAAGGGATTTTTAAACGAAATGAAAGATCCGACAAATTAAAAACTTTCTATAAATTAGTTTATATATCAAAGATATTTAAGAAATCAAAATCTAAATCTAAAATTTAATTTGTATATTACGTTTTTTCTTTACGTTACGTTATGCTAGCAATATGTATAAAAAGGACATTTACAACTTAATATGAAAAAAGATATTTAATGAAGTTTTACAATTTTCATTACGTTACTAAACATCCTTCTATTTTCATTACGTTACGTTACGTTACGTTACAGATTGTGTAATTAAAAATCGTAACCGTATTTAATTCAAGGATTAAATAATTTAAAAAGACTATATATAAATGTTCAGAGACAATTACGTTACGATATTTGATTCCTAATTTTATTTAATCTTTTCATTAACGTAACGTAATGAAAACTACTGAATCATTTTACAATTTTTTAACTTTTTTCCTAAAAATATATTTTAGAATTACTTTCATAAAATCTTTCAACTAAATGAAACTTTAACGTAACGCAAATTCAGTTCTAGTTCAGTTCTAGTTCAGTTCTAGTTCAGTTCTAGTTCAGTTCTAGTTCAGTTCTAGTTCATTCTAGTTCAGTTCTAGTTCAGTTCTAGTTCAGTTCTAGTTCAGTTCTAGTTCAGTTCTAGTTCAGTTCTAGTTCAGTTCTAGTTCAGTTCTAGTTCAGTTCTAGTTCAGTTCTAGTTCAGTTCTAGTTCAGTTCTAGTTCAGTTCTAGTTCAGTTCTAGTTCAGTTCTAGTTCAGTTCTAGTTCAGTTCTAGTTCAGTTCTAGTTCAGTTCTAGTTCAGTTCAGTTCTAGTTCAGTTCTAGTTCAGTTCTAGTTCAGTTCTAGTTCAGTTCTAGTTCAGTTTCTAGTTCAGTTTCTAGTTCAGTTCTAGTTCAGTTCTAGTTCAGTTCTAGTTCAGTTCTAGTTCCAGTTCTAGTTCAGTTCTAGTTCAGTTCTAGTCAGTTTCTAGTTCAGTTCTAGTTCAGTTCTAGTTCAGTTCTAGTTCAGTTCTAGTTCAGTTCTAGTTTCAGTTCTAGTTCAGTTCTAGTTCAGTTCTAGTTCAGTTCTAGTTCAGTTCTAGTTCAGTTCTAGTTCAGTTTCTAGTTCAGTTCTAGTTCTTAGTCAGTTCTAGTTCAGTTCTAGTTCAGTTCTAGTTCAGTTCTAGTTTCAGTTCTAGTTCAGTTCTAGTTCAGTTCTAGTTCAGTTCTAGTCAGTTCTAGTTCAGTTCTAGTTCAGTTCTAGTTCAGTTCTAGTTCAGTTCTAGTTCAGTTCTAGTTCAGTTCTAGTTCAGTTCTAGTTCAGTTCTAGTTCAGTTCTAGTTCAGTTATCGTTCAGTTCTAGTTCAGTTATCGTGTTCTAGTTCAGTTCTAGTTCAGTTCTAGTTCAGTTCTAGTTCAGTTCTAGTTCAGTTCTAGTTCAGTTCTAGTTCAGTTCTAGGTCAGTTCTAGTTCAGTTCTAGTTCAGTTCTAGTTCAGTTCTAGTTCAGTTCTAGTTCAGTTCTAGTTCAGTTCTAGTTCAGTTCTAGTTCAGTTCTAGTTCAGTTCTAGTTCAGTTCTAGTTCAGTTCTAGTTCAGTTCTAGTTCAGTTCTAGTTCAGTTCTAGTTCAGTTCTAGTTCAGTTCTAGTTCAGTTCTAGTTCAGTTCTAGTTCAGTTCTAGTTCAGTTCTAGTTCAGTTCTAGTTCAGTTCTAGTTCAGTTCTAGTTCAGTTCTAGTTCAGTTCTAGTTCAGTTCTAGTTCAGTTCTAGTTCAGTTCTAGTTCAGTTCTAGTTCAGTTCTAGTTCAGTTCTAGTTCAGTTCTAGTTCAGTTCTAGTTCAGTTCTAGTTCAGTGCTAGTTCAGTTCTAGTTCAGTTCTAGTTCAGTTCTAGTTCAGTCTAGTTCAGTTCTAGTTCAGTTCTAGTTCAGTTCTAGTTCAGCAGTTCTAGTTCAGTTCTAGTTCAGTTCTAGTTCAGTCTAGTCAGTTCTAGTTCAGTTCTAGTTCAGTTCTAGTTCAGTTCTAGTTCGTTCTAGTTCAGTTCTAGTCAGTTCTAGTTCAGTTCTAGTTCAGTTCTAGTTCAGTTCTAGTTCAGTTCTTTCAGTTCTAGTTCTAGTTCTAGTTCAGTTTCTAGTTCAGTTCTAGTTTAGTTCTAGTTAGTTCTAGTTCAGTTCTAGTTCAGTTCTAGTTCAGTTCTAGTTCAGTTCTAGTTCAATTTATGTTTAGTTTCATATTTGAAAAATTATTGTAAATTTCTTACGTAACGTAATGACAAACGTTAAAAAAAACTTAAGCCAATCAAGTCATATTAAATCTTAAACCCACTTTTAAAATAATTTCGAAACCAAAATTAGAAAAAAAATAGAAATCGTAAGTTTCCTTATATTTACAAAAATATCCCAATAAAACCACTATTGCCTCAACACCAAAACTATGATCAAACGTCAGCGCGGGGAGTTTTCACATTATTATAGTCTATTAGCCAATTTTTTTCAATAAAAAGTGTTTCTTTTTCAAAAAAATAGAAACACATTTATGCAAAAAAAAAACCCATAACAAACACTTGCCATTTTCATTTCCTATTAAAAAATTCCTGTTATTTACCTCCTCCTTTCTAAATTGCCATCCCACACCAACAGCACACACAAAACTAAAAACATTTAAAACATTTTTGTAAACGATTTCATTTTTTATTAAAATTTTTTTAATTTAAATGAACAAAAAATACTACAGTTGTTAATGTTTTTAATTAAATGCAATATAAATTTTATTTCAAATGAAGAAGAATTTACGAAAGAAACCAATAAACATGGCGTCTTTTTATTTCAATTTTGGGTTCTTTTTTGGTTTATTTTTAAAAATAATTTTATGCTTAGGAAAATAACACATCCATACGTGTCTTTTAAATATTTTACTTGTAGACTCATTAGTTTCTTTTTTCGAAATTTTATTTTTACATTGTAAATATTCTATTAGAATTAGAAAAAACATACATGGTCATTGCAAATAATTCATAATTATAAACAAATGTTTGTTATCTGGTGAATTTTAATAGTTTGTTATTTGTTTATAAATATGGCATATTTTTAAACAAGAAACACGTAAATATGCTTGTAATTTTAGGGAAAAAAAATTGGTCAAAACAATTGTTAATTAATGTCAATTTATTCAATTTAAATATAAATTATTGGAATATGTAGCAGAAATAATATGACAGATGTCATTTTTAATAATGTGCTAATATCTATTACATTAATCTTCTAATTTCTTATAAGTTAAAATTCTAGTTCAGTTCTAGTTCAGATCTAGTTCAGTTCTAGTTCAGTTCTAGTTCAGTTCTAGTTCAGTTCAAGTTCAGATCTAGTTCAGTTCCAGTTCACTTCTAGTTCACTTCTAGTTCATTTCTAGTTCACTTCTAGTTCACTTCTAGTTCAGTTCTAGTTCAGTTCTAGTTCAGTTCTAGTTCAGTTCTAGTTTAGTTCTAGTTCAGTTCTAGTTCAGTTCTAGTTCAGTTCTAGTTCAGTTCTAGTTCAGTTCTAGTTCAGTTCTAGTTCAGTTCTAGTTCAGTTCTAGTTCAGTTCTAGTTCAGTTCTAGTTCAGTTCTAGTTCAGTTCTAGTTCAGTTCTAGTTCAGTTCTAGTTCAGTTCTAGTTCAGTTCTAGTTCAGTTCTAGTTCAGTTCTAGTTCAGTTCTAGTTCAGTTCTAGTTCAGTTCTAGTTCAGTTCTAGTTCAGTTCTAGTTCAGTTCTAGTTCAGTTCTAGTTTAGTTCTAGTTCAGTTCTAGTCAGTTTTAGTTCAGTTCTAGTTCAGTTCTAGTTCAGTTCTAGTTCAGTTCTAGTTCAGTTCTAGTTCAGTTCTAGTTCAGTTCTAGTTCAGTTCTAGTTCAGTTCTAGTTCAGTTCTAGTTCAGTTCTAGTTCAGTTCTAGTTCAGTTCTAGTTCAGTTCTAGTTCAGTTCTAGTTAGTTCTAGTTCAGTTCTAGTTCAGTTCTAGTTCAGTTCTAGTTCAGTTCTAGTTCAGTTCTAGTTCAGTTCTAGTTCAGTTCTAGTTCAGTTCTAGTTCAGTTCTAGTTCAGTTCTAGTTCAGTTCTAGTTCAGTTCTAGTTCAGTTCTAGTTCAGTTCTAGTTCAGTTCTAGTTCAGTTCTAGTTCAGTTCTAGTTCAGTTCTAGTTCAGTTCTAGTTCAGTTCTAGTTCAGTTCTAGTTCAGTTCTAGTTCAGTTCTAGTTCAGTTCTAGTTCAGTTCTAGTTCAGTTCTAGTTCAGTTCTAGTTCAGTTCTAGTTCAGTTCTAGTTCAGTTCTAGTTCAGTTCTAGTTCAGTTCTAGTTCAGTTCTAGTTCAGTTCTAGTTCAGTTCTAGTTCAGTTCTAGTTCAGTTCTAGTTCAGTTCTAGTTCAGTTCTAGTTCAGTTTAGTTCAATTCTAGTTCAGTTCTAGTTCAGTTCTAGTTCAGTTCTAGTTCAATTCTAGTTCAGTTTAGTTCAGTTCTAGTTCAGTTCTAGTTCAGTTCTAGTTCAGTTCTAGTTCAGTTCTAGTTTAGTTCTAGTTCAGTTCTAGTTCAGTTCTAGTTCAGTTCTAGTTCAGTTCTAGTTCAGTTCTAGTTCAGTTCTAGTTCAGTTCTAGTTCAGTTCTAGTTCAGTTCTAGTTCAGTTCTAGTTCAGTTCTAGTTCAGTTCTAGTTCAGTTCTAGTTCAGTTCTAGTTCAGTTCTAGTTCAGTTCTAGTTCAGTTCTAGTTCAGTTCTAGTTCATTTCTAGTTCATTTC